AATAAAATTGAAAAAAAATTGACATTTGCAATTCTAAGACTACGAAGTAGGTATTTTATAAAAACATCAGGAAACAAGTGAATTCAAAATTATTCAAGTTAAGTAGGTCAAATCACAAGTAGGTTGAACAATTTAAATTTAAATAATATTTGAAGTCTTTTGTCTTTGTTCAAATGTTTCATTGTATTATTAGTCTTTTGCCGCTGAAACGACTGTCCAAATGTTTAATTATTATGACATATGGAATTAATGTTTTCCTTGTTAATTTACATTTATTTACATGATAATATAATTGACAAAATTATCCTTAATAATGTTATTGAAAGTGAAATTTTCATTTGGAATAGACACTTTAAAGACACAGGTTGTCAGTTTATAACGAGCAATTATTAAATAAGGATAATAGCTCTTTATGTGGATATCGATTAGACTTTGCTTTTTCTAATGTGATACATTTGTACAAGTTTATTTTTTACTCAAGTAAACTTAACACCTGCATGGATATGAACAAATTCTGGTTCTCAAGTGAAGTATTTAACATACTTATGTATTATATACTTCACCTGAGATATTATAATAATAACACAGGGCCGATCCCCGCTAAGCAGAGCTTGTATTATGAGTAGGTACGTACTACAAAACTGATAGAAATACATAAAGACATTCTATTATAGGTACTACGTATGTATTATATTATACGTAGAAAACGCCCAGACCGATATAAACATTCATACTCATGAATACATATATTTGCATCGTTCGAGCAATCGAACCCGCAACCATCACAAGGCGTTGTGCTAAACCACTCCACCACCGAGACCGCCGTTATATTTAACCTTTATCCATAGTCAAAGCCGTAGTGTACGATAGCTATATTTTTGCAAATCGTAATATAAACAGTATGTAAAGTAATTTTTGCAAGCCGTGTACATTGAAAGTCACTCAGTAAAATTGCCTCCGATTTCCAATCGTGAAATCGCGTCGGTTACCACTGAGTGTAGCACGCTGGGAGTAACTGCCTGAAATACAAAGACCTTGAAACAGTGACTCAGTTTCGATATCAAATGGTCCGTTGACCTTATGCCGGGTAGAGGACTTGACTTGCTTGGTTCTTGCCCTCTTACCTCGGGTTCAATTATGGTTAGCAATTAATTCTTGATCGAGTTTTGTGTAATTGTATATTTTATATTTATACAAATACATATGCACATATTCAATGAAATGTGTAGTTTATTAAAAGATTGTGAGCATGAATTTGGCCGACGCCAACCTCTATATTACAATATATAACTTTGTATAGTTTTGTATTTCATTAATGAAAATAATATAACAACTTTTAACAAGAGTAAAGCCAAGAGATGACGAGAGGTTCATCCTTCTGATTACATTCAAATTTAACAGCCAAACGTGAATATGAAATGTTGAGTTGATTAGAACATCGACAGCAAATACCTACTTCTGATTATCTCGTCTAGCATAACAAGCTTAAAGGTATATTATTTAACTGAAATCAAGTTTTAATTTAATTTAAGTAAATATAATAGAATAAACTGATTGCACACTTAATTGAAAATCACAACAACGAGTACTCATTAGTGTCTGCTATTGACATGTCCAGTACTAGGAAACAGATAATAAAGTGCTGTCTAGTGGTTATATATGATACACGTTGTATAACCATACAGGAGTTCTCGCTCTTACACAGGTGATGTTTATCCACGTATCAGAGCTAGCGATAGTTATTGATCCCTGCATGTTGAAACACGTATATAGTACCTATTGGGATAGAATTTATTGCATAGCTGTATGCACTCAGTAATAGTTATAGGTACTCTGTGTTCAGAGCGACGGTTCATTAGTAGACTGTGATTTCAGGTATTTAATCCGCTGTAATATTCATTTCTTTATGTTCAGACGAATAAATAAATAAATTCTAAATGGCTGACTGCTTCTTGGCAGAAATAGGTAACACAGCATCTACTACTACTATGTCAACTTACTATTTTTTTAATCGATAGTTAAATTGCTAATACACATATAATAATAATAATCTAACTACGATTCACATAGCGCCATCTAGACCCAAGTTACGCTAGCTTAAACTTTGTATTATGGGTACTCGATAACTGATACAAATAGATACATACATACATTTTTCGTAAAAACATACATATTATACATGGAAAACACCCAGAATGATACTAACAATGATACTCATAAATACAAATGTTTGTGCCGTGCGAGGACTCAAACCCGCGACCAACGGACTTAAAGCGGTTGAGCGAAAACGTCGACCTGAGGTCGTCAAATGACCATTATGTTATTGCTAATATAGATATATACTCTTATCTATCTTTATAACTAGGTAACACAGCAACATCTATATATTTACTGTGTTAACTTACTATTTTTTTTATCGGTGGTTTAATTGCTAATACACTTGTATACTCTTCTCTATCTATCTACATTTTTGAATCACATATATTTGATTACAGTATAATGTTCTTACGCAAAAACCCCCTTATAAAAAGAATTTAATACCTTATATCAAATGTATACAGAAAATCCTTTTACTTTTAATGTACAACGATAGGGAATATACATACATAGTTTAACGTAAAGGCACACAGAAGTCTGCAACCGCGACATGAGGCAGCAAACAGCGATGTACATAGTTTACGTGCTGCTTTTAGCAAAATTATTTATTTAACCTGCAATTTTATGAAGTGCACCGTGAGCACGACACAACTACTACACATTTTGGAAGCAATTTTACATGTAGAGCAACTCGCGAAATGAATTATCATGAAACTACAAAACTAAACTAATTCCATCATCCCCTAGTTATAATGTAAGCCTGCTGTCCTAACTTTTGCGGGATTGAATAATGTACTTAAATATAATTTGCGAGTCTGTAATAATATAACTTGTTTAATTTTTTTTTTAATATATTAATATATAATGGTAGTCCCGCCTGCGCTAATGATACGCTGGCGGGTAACCAGTGGAGCATGATAGAACGAGGATGAAGTCAGGGTTAGTCTGTCGTGGCGAATTTACCATAAGTTTACTACGGTATTTTCCAGAGGGAACCGCGTGGAGGTCAACCTGACAGTACAATATAGTCACAAGTTGGTACCCATTACTAAATCTTCTCCCTTCCTTTTATTTAGGATACAACAATACGTGCTCAAAAAGGCCCTCCTATCCCCGTTCCCTTATTAAGAAAAACATCCAGGACTAAGATATGCAATGCTTTTCCCCCATAACAATAAAATGACAGAATTATAACAATATGATCAGTATTAACCTTACCGTTGATGAAGGGCACTTCACTTACATACAATCTCATGGAGGAGGGAGAAGACTGTTGAAAATGTGGAGTAATGATCTCATTGCTAGCAATGTACCATGTCAGTTTGATCTCTACCCCCCTCCCCCATGCTTTATTTTCATCCTCCACTGGTGCCACGCAGACTTGAACCATTAACGCAGGCAGTATCACTGTTCTATTATCATCCATTAAAATAAAACCTCATAAAAGTACGCTCTATTATATTATATTAGTTTTGTTAAGTCTCTATATAAGAATAGGTAATTATTGATCTGTGACCTTTGATAATTTTTTGATGTTTTATAAATAATTCCTTGAACAATTCACTTTTGTTCTAACAATGCGTTGAGCATAAAGAAGTCTCCCATGTAAAATCGCGAGGACGTTCATAATTTTGCGACATAAATGTATTTTTTAATAGGCTATGATTTGACGATTGCCTTCACTGGAGATTGAATAAAATATCGGTTGATTGGTCCATAATTGACATTGAATATTAATTCAATAGTTACAAGTGAATACCTTTATATAAATAGATATAAGTATAGAAAATACCACGAGGTACTGTATAAACCAAAAAACATACTTAAATGTTAAAACTAAATACTGTGATACGACTTTTAAAAATTGCTAAAATTAGTCAATTGTTTGTTCATTCTCGACAATGGAACAAAAGCCTTAAAACGAGTCGAAAATTTAGAGCTATTATTTATCAGTAATATTGTAACAATACTGTCATAAAATAACATCTGCCTGTTGATAAGTGTTTACTACACCGGTCTTTATATTTTTGTTTTTAACCATTAATTTTGTTTGAATTATTGAACCAAAGAAGGGACTTATTTTTGTAGTTTTACCTGATTTTTTACGACTCGTAATATCGCATTAACTAATTACTGGGGAACAACGTTTTAAACTTGTAATTCCATTGAGTGACTGCAAAGTACAAAAAGTAATCGTATTAACTCTGAAAACAATTTAAACTCTAGGTTGAATTATGTTTTTAATGTTTATTGTCAAGTAGTGTAGTAGTCCATATACTTGACAATAGTCAGTAAAGAAATAATAATAATCCCTTTGAATATAAATTCTAAACTGTACCTACGCGTCATTTAAATCACAGGCAATAGCTAGCTTCTTGTAATTTATTAATAGATCGAAATAGTCTGTAACAATTGTTTTAGTCTATTGATAGGTATCACATAAATTGAGTGGATTCTTTGAAGTAAATTTGTAGAAAACATAAGTAATATCATAACTGATGTTAATGATAAGCTGCTAAAAGAATTGGGGCTTTTTACTCCAATAATTGTTTCAATAAAAACAACATAAGTCTTCTTTATAACGAAGTTAAGCCACTTCAATATAATGAATACTAAAATGATAATATTGAAGTGGTATTTTCTCATAATTCTGTTGTTTTCTATATAAGTCTATGAAATGTGCTAACTTAAATAATATTACTACTAATCGTTAAATAATGTCTTTTATAAATGAAAGTAATAGGAATTTGTACATTACAAATATCTATTACTTACATTTCAATGAATCATAAACTATATAATAGGTTTAGGATTAGCGGAAAGGCGACCTCGAAATCATAAGTGACCGACACCATGAAACATTTGTACGTTAATGTCTAGTAATTAGATAAAATTTTGCCCAGATGGTTCAGTAATCCTATGGGATATTCGGGATTTGAACCAGAAGGAACACAAGACATTGCGTGTAAACATCGAGTTTGACCACGCATCCCATGTTGCTTGGAGTCCTGATTCCAAGGCGTTTATCATACACACTGTACGGGAGAACAACATCGTCGTCTACAAGATAGAGAAGAAAAAGGACGGTACTATAGGATCCGCGAATGCGGTCATCACATTTGACAAGGTTAGTCTTATCTTTAGCAGTCAACAAAGAGTCTTCAGACTAAACAAATACACATAAACGGCTGATCCATCTGTTTCGTCGTGATAATTTTGTCTTTGTTGATTTTCTTGAAATGAGAACACACTTTAAACTTTTGACAACGGTTATGCTCTTTAGTTCTTTTTCATAAGGTGTGTAGTAGTGATTCTAAGAATAAATATTAGAGTTTACATATATCTCCTGTAATAAGTTGAATAGATTGCGCAATTAGGACTAGGTAAATGAAAACAATGAGTAAATACTACATATAACAAAGTCGTAAAAATGAACATCGACTTTGTACTCAATCCACGTACTTACACGAAATGAAAATATTGTTAGAAAAACCAATATTTTTCTGTCTCCAGGTTTTGAGTGGCCAATATTGCTAACACCTTAATTTTTTTCATTAACATAGAAATCACATTTTCTTGGCATACTTTTACTGAGTATAACTATCATTGTACTTTTTATGACTATTGTGACACGCGATATACATAGCTGTTATATAAATCGCTTATCGTATCTCTACTGCCGTCACTGCATTTGAATTAAGTTTTCATAACAGGCTAAGAGCAATGTAGGGCAATGGGTTAAATTTCCTACAAATTAAATAATATATTGCGCATAAGACAATGTATTTGCGATTTTATTATGACTTATGACTTGTGGGGAACAACGGAGTTTCTATTGTTTTTGTATCAAACTGGGACGATGTTGAATATTATCTATATTGCGATAAGATGTTCTTGTCTAATAAGTATTTCAATGCCTTTATATTTGCACTTGCCTAGTTAATTACTATTACATATAATTTGATATATGTATACATAAGTCACATCTAGTAAAATACAACTATGTAATTTCAGCAAATGTATCTGTTGATTTTGTTTTGCAGTTTTGATTTAATAAATTCTGTTATTTATTTATGATTATTTATTAGAATTTGCTGAACATAAATAAACTTCAAAAAATTATTTTTTTTACACAATAGGTATTCGTGTAAGATTGTTTCAGTATACATTTTGAAATAGTACAAAAATAATGCTTATTGACTCAATAGATTTCTTTCCATATTGAAATTGGAATTGAAATCCGAATAATGCAATACAATTGGTTAATTCATGATTAGTAGATTCGTGACTGATTGTGGTTTTATAAAGAGTCCGTCTAAAAATCTATAGTAGTATTATAATGCTATGGAGTTTGTTTGTTTGGTTAGTTGAATACGGTAAACTCAGGAGGAAAATATTACAATGTTGGATAGAATATTTATCGCGAAAGGCTTATATTATCTGTCTATCTATTATAATCTATATAAAATCACGCTACGACCAATAGGAGCGGAGCATTAATGAATAGCGAAGTTGAACAACTGAATCGGTTAGTTCGTGATTAATCTATCTCTGCCCATAGAGTTGGTCTATGAGATATATCATGTGATATTATGATAGATCATGTACTAACAGTGAGAATTTTTCGTATTTTACACTTCACATACATATAGTCTTACAAAATTTGCAGCGTCTAATTATAATTTTAATGTAGACATACTAATGTATGATAAAATATTCTTCATATTTCACTATATGTATATTACAATTGTACGGTGCGGTGGCTAGTTGTCATACTCACTGACGCATCACGAATCACCAGGTATAGAAATACAATACGTTCATTTAATAGCCGTTTAAATTACATCCAAAAGTACACGATAGTTATAAGGAATACACACGTTTGTACAATATGAATGTCATAATATCAAATCATAAGTGAAGGATAAATTTTCGTTTTCAAATAACTTTAAAATAGAGGCGGCTTTCAATTGCCCTATTCTTAGAGCATTTTGATCATTACCACTTATTTTTCTGATCAATAAGATTATGTAATTATATTAAAACTCTAGGTGCTGATTCCATAAAGTTGAAAATTTTTCTACTAATTTTGGTATTTTTACAATCAATAGGAATTCTCCAGTATTGGTTCCATAGTAATGTAGTTATAATTGATTTTTTGTAAGCATCATTTGTTGATACATTTATTAATGTGGAATCCAATATAAATTAGTCGGGATACCATAAAATACTTAGGTATTTTATGGTATCCCGACTAATGCTAAAAAGCTAATCATAGACTGGATCGATCGATCAATTACTCACCATGCCTCATTTGTTGCGATGAATTCTTATTTAGTACGTGCTTGTCACATAGAAATCACTGTGTTATTAAGTATATCAGTCTGACAAATTAAACAATTACATTCCAAGAAGCGCTAGAATCTTATGCCTCCGTTTCCTATTTCATTACCATGTTTTAAAAACCGGAAAACACCTTGGAATTTAGTCTGAATATGGTAAGATATAGTTATCTTTATTTGCATACAAGCTCTGCGATATGCTTAACAACTTTAACAATGTAACATAATTACCATTACATATATTAATAAGGATCAAAATTCTCAACATAACTTGAAATTAACGCGCCATTATAGGGCACGGTCTCGCCTCATAATTAAGGTATATTAGCCTCCTGCTACCATGGTGGCTAAGCGGCTTGTTACATGGTTTTATTTGGTATTTTCATTCTCAGCAGTGTGTAATGTGCTTCGTACTTACAACATATTGAGAATGAAAAGGATGGCGAAATATTTATTTTTATTCTGAGAGTACACAGAGAGAATTAGAGCTTATTAATAGGCGTTGACGTTTATTTAGATAAATGTTATCAATTCGACGACCGCCTCAGTTGTCTAGACGTTTAGCACACCGCCTTATGATTATGTTTATATATTATAATATAATATATATTATAACATAATAATATTGTATGTATTTAGAAAATATAATATCTATGTATTTGTTGTCTAGTAGCCATAACACAAGCCCCAGCTACTTTAACTTGGATCTAGATGAAGCTATGTGAATTGTCCCGAGATTAATATTATTATAGTAGTCTTTTTTTAATATTTGTAAATGGAATGCTGCAGTCGCCAGCGTTAACGGTATAAGCCCGCGGAGCACCAGTAGAAGATGAAGTCAGGTCACTAGCTCATAGTGACGACTATTCACTGAGAATTTTCCGTGATCGTTTCTAAGTGGGGCCGTGTAGAGATTAACGTAGTATATTGCTAGCAATGAGACCACTATTCAATAACTGCTCACCATTTATAACTCAGGCTTGATGTTGAGAATTAAAAATACTAAAAAAAAGTGACCATAACGAGATTTGAAACACTACCTTAAGATAAAGCTACTTAGTTAATGATCTAATTGACAGGCGTGACACTTCAATGTGGAAATTTCAACAATTTGTTAACAATAAAGATTCTTACAATATATTACAACCTGAATGAATAAACTGACGATCTGACCTTGACTTTTGCTAATGTGTTTAGCTAATCACCCTTAGGCGATGTTTATGTAATGGGTTTCAACAAAGTTGATCCACTAATTATTTGAAACAGGAACTTTATAAGCTAAATAATAATATACTCGTAAATAGTTCGTGCTTCGTTTTGATTGATAATTTTTTAAATTACTATTTAAAAAACTCTATATTTTATCGGTGTTTAGTATCATCTAATATTCGAAAACTTAGGCAAGTTGGCATTTATTAGGTCAGAACGAAACTGTTATTATGTAAACTAAGACAAATAAAAATAAATAGATTACTGGATATTGATATAGATTAATGCGAATAACCCGCCTAATGTAGTAAATAGTTAGGTACTGCAAAATTGTCTTACTAAAATATCTCTTAATTTTTTCACCTCTATATTCAGTTAATCAAACATAACGTTTTCACTAACGGCGTAACATAAGCTCGTGTTATTAGTTAACTATTTGTAAAACAGAACTTTGAAGTGTATGATATCATCTAATTTATTTAATCCTTGCCTCACATTAAAATCACCCTTATATCTCTTAATATACTCTACTGTTGCTTAGGGTAACTGTGTATTTAATAATTTAAATGAGGTTTCATATTTTGTTATCACCTTCGTTATCCATTTTAGATATAATAAAAATAGGAAAGACGTTCGTAAAATTATTATTATTTGTGTAAATGATATTTATTATAACATTTAAAGAAACGTTTTTGTTTCGTCATTAAAAAAAATCCACTCAAGTTAATTTTGATTTTCGAACCTTACGGAATACAACATAACAGAAACATGAACAAATGAATGGTATTAAAATATTTTTGGTTATTTCAATTATGATGAAGAATCATTCTAATCTATACTTTTTTTTTGCACTAACATAAGGAGGGCAGTGAGGCAATAATAACATAAAAAACCCGTTTCAATAATTTATTTCTATGTTTACAATTCGCAAAAATTTATGGATTTAGATAGAAGCACATGTTATTTTTCATACAGGTGTACGTTTCAATATACTTAAATATAGAAATAACCAGTTTCAACTAGTTATTTTATAGCTTGAGCGAATTTTTCGATTTCCTCTGCTAAACTTGTTACTGTATTAAGATTATTTAATGTCTTTTAACGTATCATTATTTACATATGCCTAATATTATAGACTTGCTGATAAATGTATATTAATATATTGATATTGTATTGTATATGTTTATACATAGCTGACGTTTATTTTTACACAATAAATAACTGCGAACGAATGCGTCGATAGCGATCGGAACATGATTTATTTCATTTAAAACACTTTTCAACGGAAAAAAAAACTTGACAAAAGTGGCTTTTGTCAATTCCTTTGTATTTTAAGTATTTTTAAGTTTAATTGTTTTTCTTTTGTATTTCACTTATGGTAGGGGTCGATATCATATTATTAGTTAAAAAATTTCGTATTTATTGATATAACTCTAATATTTATCATATTATCGATAATTTTCTGTTTGTATTTAATGGCCGGTTTTATGGTTTAATAGCGATTACCATAATCTATGAGCGCTTGCAACATCATAGTGTCACGTGCGCTGTGCAGATAGTAAATAAATAGGTCATT